CCCTTGGGGGCAGTTGTTAAAAATGCAGATTCCCAGGCATCACCACAGAGGTACTAAATCCCAATTTCTGCGGGGGAGGCTCACCAATTTGCATTTTCAACAACCACTCTGGGTAATTTCACTCAAGAGCCATTTTGATTAGAAACAACTGTCCCAGACCAGTGTTTTCCAACTTTTTTGGATCATGCACCCTCTTCAGAAAGAATTTGGAGCATGCACTTTCAGTATGTTGGTAGTTTATTAATAAATCCCTTATATGTACTAATTTCCTAATATTTATATTTTTATTTTTTTTTTATTTTATTTTTTTTTTTTAAAGATTTTATTTATTTATTTGACAGAGAGAGGTCACAAGTAGACAGACAGGCAGGCAGAGAGAGAAAGGGAGAAGCAGGCTCCCTGCCGAGCAGAGAGCCCGATGCGGGGCTCGATCCCAGGACCCTGAGATCATGACCTGAGCCGAAGGCAGAGGCTTAACCCACTGAGCCACCCAGGCGCCCCCTAATATTTATATTTTTAAATGCAAAACAAAAATGGTGACATTTTTGCAATAGTGTTCTTAGATGAGACTGGTTTCTCGTTTGTCTTTATGTATATTCTAGTTGTTGGGTTTTGGTATTGACATTATGCAGGATTCTTTTCTTTTCCCTCAATAGATTCCACAGTCTAGGAAGTGTAAATAGCATTGAGGTTGTCTGTTCCTTGAAGGTTGGTAGAATTAACACAAGATCATGTGAGTGTGCTATCTTTTTTTTTTTTTTTTTGTCAAATTTATCAACATTGTTTCCTATGATAACAGGTGCATTTAAATATTTCCACTCTTCTGCAATCGGTTTTGGTAACTTTTATTTTCCTAGAAAAACATCCTAAGCTTTCTAATTTGTTTTCATAGAGTAGAACAAAGTATTCTCTTACTCTTTTCATTTACTCTGCAACTGTGGTTATTTCTCCATTTCTAATTTTGTGCATTTGGGGTTTTTAATTAGATTAGCAAGTGGTTTATCTTTTTTATTGTTTTATATTTTCTTTTGAAGTAGTAGCTTTTGGATTTAATTATTAATTCTATCATTTGTTTTCCAGTGTAGTAATTTCTGCCATTAGTTTTCTTTCTGCTTTGCTTAGGTCTATTTTTGTGGCTCTTTTCTTGACATCTTTTGTTCAATGCTTAATTCATTGATCTTAATTTGTTCTTATGTATTAATGTAAGCATTGAAGGCTACAGATTTTCCTGTGACCACTGCTTTATTCAGTCAAATTTTCTAGCTTCTGATATTTCATTGTTATTTTTTAGGTATTCTTCAATTTCAGATCAGATCCCTTCTTTGACTATATTGGGGGATATTTTCTTCCCTTTTATTTTCTATGTACTAGAAGCTTTTGTCTTTCATTTTTGTTATTAATTTCTTGTGTTGTTATGTTGTTATTAGGTACCATTATTTGTACTTCTTTCATTTTTGGCTTAATATGGAGTCAATGTAAGAACGAACAGTTCAATGGACCCTTGAGAATGGAGAAAGTTAAGTGTTCCCATTATCTTAGTTTTGACTGTCATATCTGTCATCAGCTGAAACAGCCTCATAGTTCATTGCTCCCTTTTTCTACCTTTGCATTTCCTATGGCTTTGCTTTATGAATTATGATGCTATGTTATTTGACACATAAAGATTTAGGGTAGTTAGATCTTAATCATGTGTTCTAACCACTAATTCATAGTGCCCCTCTTTGTCTTCTTATTTGATTTTTGCCTTTAATTCTACTTTGTAGGTGGCTCAGTTGGTTAAGTGTCTGCCTTCAGCTCAGGTCATAATCTTGGGGTCCTGGGATCAAATCGCACATCCAGCTTCTTGCTCAGTGGGGATCCTCTCCCTCCACCCTACTTGTGCTCTCTCTCTCTGACAAATAAAATCTTTAAAAAAATAATTCTACTCTGTTATGATATGAATATCATGGTTGTTGGGTTTTTTTCATTTTTGGCATGAATCCATTTATTTTATGGAAGTACACTTGATACACAAAGTTACATTACCTTCAGGTATACAACATAGTGATTTGAGAAGTCTATACATTATGCTGTGCTCACAAGTGTAACTGGAGCCCTGTATCTCCCACTCCCCTTTGCCCATTTTGCCCATCCCCTCTCCCCCAAGATGTACCTATCTGGCTACCATCAGACTGTTTTCTGCACTTATGGGTCCATACCCGCTTATTTATTTGTTCATTTTGTTTTTTAGATTCCACATATGAGTGAGATTATATGGTATTTATCTTTCTCTATCTGACTTATTTCACTTAGCATAATACCATCTAGGTCCATCTGTATTGTTGCAAATGGCAAGATCTCACCCTCTTTTATGGATGAGTAATATCCCTGTGTTTGTGTGTGTGTGTGTGTGTGTTTGTGTGTGTGTATACCATCTTCTTTATCCATTCATCTGTTGACAACACTTGGGTTGCTTCCATATTTTGGCTATTTTAAATAAAGCTGCATTGAACATGGGGGTGCAGATATCTTTTCAAATTAGTGTCTTTGTTTTCTTTGGGTAAGTACCCAATGGAATTTATGGATCATATGATATTTCTATTCATTAATTCATTTATTAAACAAAATTTATTAAATGCCTACTGTGTTGCCAGGCACTAGGTACTAAATAAATGAGACACATAAGATCCTTGCCTTCATGGGGCTTACATTTTAGTTAGAGAGTGGAGCATGAAATAAACAGGTAAAAGTAGGTATGTGATATAATGTTAAGAGGGGATGTGTGTTCTGAGAAAGAACACAAAAGAAAAAGGATAGAAAAAGGATAGAACACAAAAGAAAGAAGGATAAGCCATCTCTATTTTAGATAAGGAGGTCAGGAAAGTCCTCTGCCTGATAGCATTTGTCAACCTTTTACTCTCTACTCAGCACCTTGTTTGTTCCCTGCTGGAGAAAATGCCAGGTGGAACACTTTGCACACAAGGAGGAACTTAAACTCTTAAGGAACTATAGGTGGGCAAAGACCCAAATAAGAAGGGATAGTGGATGGACGTGTGAAGGTGAATTTCTGATCCATGTGAGTGATGAGCTAGCCATGATGGGGACTGGAGATGAGTTCACTGAAGGAGATTTGGTTCTTCATTCTCTCTGAGCTTGGCTACCATTATGTATATGATTATTTTTAAAAGAAATATTCTAAGTCTTCAATATGATTATTGAATGGGTATTCTGTCTGATGATTTAATTGAACTTCTGGAATTTCCTGTCACTAGGCAGTACTTAGCATGATGCTGATTGCTCACAGGCTACAGCAGGAAACCAGATCTTCTGGTTTAGAGGCTTAACTCTTTATACTCTGAGACTGAAGAGCTGTCCTTTGACTTTGGTCACTCTTTATTATACAGAAGCTTGACTTTTTATGCATATTTTTATACTTATTTAAATCAGCCTGGACTTCTTTCTTTGGATATTTTTTCAATTGCTTATAAGATGAGAATCTCATTTTGCCTCACAAGTGACAGTCCTTTTAATCTGTTTATACTTTTTTTTTCTTATAAACATAGAATATATATACATATATACACATGTAACACATACATTAAAATACACACATACACACACACACACACACACACACCCTTAATTCTTGAATCTGGAATTTATTTGGGTACATAATAGAGGGTGCATCTCCAAATATTGCTGTTCTGCAGTTATCTCAAAAAAATTTTTAAGACAGTATTTCTTTTAAAGGTTTTATTTATTTATTTAAGATAGAGCAAGAGTGAGAGAGAGAGCACAAGCAGGGAGAACAGCAGGCAGAGGGAGAAGCAGGCTCTCCACTGATCAGGGAGTTCGATGCAGGGCTCGATCCTCGGACTCTGAGATCATGACCTAACCCGAAGGTAGATGCTCAACTGACTGAGCCACACAAGCACCCCTCCAAAAAAATTTTCTTAAAAAATCATTCTTTATCTCCTTCTTATAGGTGAATTAAATACAATGTTTTTATAGATCGATGTGTTTCTGGGGTTTTCATCCTGTTGTATTAATCAGTAACACACTGTTTTAATTATAATTGCTTTATAATATGCCTAATCCCTCACCCCCACTTCTTCTGTAGCAAAATACTTCTCAATATTATATCTTACTTTAAGTTTCAAGTTAATAAAAAAAGGTTATTGTTAAAAATTCCTGTTGAGAATTCTGACTAGAATTGCATTAGAAGGAGCTATTTTAAACCCAAAATTGTAGATATTTGTGAATTGCCTACTTGATATTTTTTGGTAGAAGTATAAAAACATGGACAGAAAGCATGTCAAATTCACGATACAGTGTGCATCTGGAGAAGCAGCAGGTGAATAGAAGTGGGGAGTGAAAACAAAGGGTATTATGTATTTGTTTTAAAAAAAATCACCAAGTATAGATGGCAGAGTATTAAAATGTGCTAATCCTGGGCAGTAGGTGGGAACATGAATATTTATTATAGCAATCTCTGTATGTTTCTAAATATTTAACATTTTTCATGATTAAAACCAAAGCAAACAAAAACAATACAACAGAATAACCAGACTTGTAAGCCCCAGTACACAGCACATTCAATCGGAGTGCTACGGCATGGGGTACTGTGTGTATCCAGTCTTTAGAGCTAGACTGTCCAGGTTCAAATCCTAGCTCTACCACTTACCAGCTTTATGACCCGGAGCAAGTTACTTAACGTGTCCGTGCCTCAGTTTTCCTGGCTATAAAATTGAGATGCTAATAATAGCTAGCTTCTGGGGTCATTTGTGAATATTAACTAGGACACAAAGCACTTAAAATAGTGCCTGGCATTTAGTACATACTTGATTAAGTGTTAGCTATCAATACTGAGTGCTAGTATTACTACTCTTATGATTGCATTTACTATGTATATTTGCATTGTTCTATGGCCATCTTGAAGTTTGCAGAAATGATGTTATCCAAAACATGGGGCCATCTGAATCTTGCTTGTTTTACACACTCTCCATCTTACTGTTTTGCAGGGAAATGGCTCATTCCAAGGCTAGCTTGTCTTGGGCAACACCGTTCCATCCTTGCCTTGAGAACCCAGCACTGGACTTGTCAAGCTACCGAGCGATCTCTTCCCTTGACCTTCTCGGAGACTTCAAGCACTCCTCGAAAGAAACAGAGGAAACTTCCGCTTATGAGGAGGGGAGCTCCATGGCCTCCATGCCCCGCCCGCTGCGGAGTCGTGCCTTCTCAGAGAGTCACATCAGCTTGGAGCCACAGAGCTCTGGGGCCTGGGGGCAGCATAGGAGAGAGCTCTTTACCAAAGTTGATGAGACCCAGCGGGATCCTCTGGGAGCCCGAAAGAAGGCCTTTCCTCCTCCTCGCCCTCCTCCTCCCAACTGGGAGAAGTACAGGCTTTTCCGGGCAACCCAGCAGCAGCAGCAGCAGCAACAGAAGCAGCAACAAGAGGAGGAGGAAGAGGAGGAAGAAGAGGGAGAAGAGGAGGAAGAGGAGGAAGGGGGAGAGGATGAAGGGGAGGAGGAGGAGCTGCCCCCCCAGTATTTCAGTTCAGAAACCACTGGTAGCAGTGCCCTCCATCCTGAAGAGGTCCTGGAGCAGCCACAACCCCTGGGCTTTGGCCACTCGGAGGCTTCGAAGCAGAGCTCACAGAGCCCCCCAGCAGAACAAGAGTCCTCTGGTCTCCACCCCAGCGATTTCCTGCCTCCAGTGAGGGGCCACTTGGGATCTCAACCTGAGAAGACTCAGCCCCCTTGCTGTTACAGTACGGGTGGGCTTTGGAGGACATCAGAGAAGGAAATCGCCAACTCCCCCAAGTAAGTGCTTATGAAAAACAGGTCCCCAACACGGCTGCAGCGTGAGTTTGAACTTCACCTCCACCGTTTACCACCTGTGTGACATTGGCTTAACCGAGTAATTAAACTGTTCCCAGCCTCACATTTTTCTCACCAGGAAAACGGGCATGATGATACCCATTCCACATGGTTGTCATTAAGATGAAGACAAGCTCTATAAAGCAGAGAGCCCTGTGTGTAGCTCATAGTAGGTGCTTGGTAAATGGTAGTTGTTGAGGTTCTTAAATATCACTATCCAAATACTATCTTATTTCTCAGTTTGCCTTTAAGATATGCATCAGTGTCAGGCCCCTGAGCCAGAACACATTAAACCCGTTGTTGCCTCCTGGCATTTCCCCAAAGCCTGGCTCAGGCTCTTTCCTGCCTTTTCTTTTGCTCACTCTCTAGAAGGAGAGGCCTGCTCACAGCCTGACCAGCCTCTGCTCCAGGACCTGTCTGGGCTTTGAAACTCCTCCCCGAGTTGTTCCTGGGGCTGGGCGCTTTATGCCCTGCCCATTCCTTACAACAGTTAAGGTCACTCTTAGCTGCCTCTTCCACTTTCTCCAACACCCCCAGCCCTGTTACCCTGCCTCTTTGCATTTGCTTCGGTGGGCCATAGACAGCAGTTGATGGGGTGGGCAGGGAGGCCAAAGCAGGAGGGTAGTCTGGCCACGGGGCTGCTGGTGTCTGTTTGCCTCCCTGTGCCTGTGCTCATCAGCATGGCATACAGTGCCTGGTGGTTGTCGTCTTAGCTCCAAAGCAGAAGAGCTCTGGCTTCAGCTCTGCTGGGCGTCCTGCAGAGAGCTCAGCCCACACTCTGCTGGGGGAGCGGCTGGGGGGCAAGTGTCTATACACTAAGTGCTTTCTTCAAATCCCCTTACAGATGGAACAGGCCTGAGACACTGTTGCTATTAGAAGTACCTTGTTTTCCTGTCTCTTACCCACCCACAGCTCCTTTACCCGGCAACTTGGACCTAGTAGAGTTTTCCAGCACCAGGTCAACAAGCACAGCGCAACAGGGCCCAGCTAGCTCCTAGACACCATGAGAATCTCTCATTGGAGCCCTCATGGCTGCTTCTCGAGCTGTCCATCTAGCTGGAGAGTGTTCTTACTGTGATGAGAACATGCTTTGTGGAAAGGGACTGTGGTCGCTTCCTGTCCCGGCAGGGAGAAGGGAAGGTGACCTAGCAGAGAGTAGGCACTTAACATTTAAGAAGACAGAACAGATAAACGAATAGCTGAACGGGTATTAAGCATTTGCTGTGGGCCACACGCCGCTAGTCGTTTTATCCCCCTGATTTCTTTTAACCCCCAATAGCCTTGTGGGCCATTTGACAGATGAAGAAATTACAGCTGTGGAAAATAAGGGACTAACAGACTCTGATCCCAAAGCTAGACCTGCATGCTCTAAAACCTATGCTTCATTTGCCATCCTAGGCAGCCTCTCTCAGAAAGATCCTGTTCTTGCAACCAGCAAGGCCTTTACGAGGCCTTTGGGCCCCTGTAGGGCAGAGGGTCCCAGCGGTCATAGTTACAGGGCCCAGACTTGCCCCTTTCAGCCTCCTACTCCTTCCTCCTTTTATGTACCTCCATTCACCTTGGTGCCTTGGCCAGAGAGAAGGAAACTGCTATTACTAGAGATCTTGTAATCCGTTCCAGAGATTTATTTTGTTTAATGACTATAGGATGCAAGGGGAAACATCTGTTTGCACACAGCCCTAGCTAGCTGTGGTTGCAGAGAATCAGTTATAGATGCCTCTTTGAATGGTGTGGATTTAAGGAACAGCATTATTCCCAACAAAGCTAATATTTTTAAAATTTTTTTATTTTTTTACTTTTCAGTGTACTAGAATTCATTGTTTATGTACCACACCCAGTGCTCCATGCAATACGTGCCCTCCACAATACCCACCACCAGGCTGGCCCAACTTCCCACCCCCCACCCCTTCAAAACCCTCAGATTGTTTTTCAGAGTCCATAGTCTCTCATGGTTCATCTCCCCCTCCAATTTCCCTCAATTCCCTTCTCCTCTCCATCTCCCCATGTCCTCCGTGTTATTTCTTATGCTCCACAAATAAGCAAAACCATATGATACTTGACTCTCTCTGCTTGACTTATTTCACTCAGCATAATCTCTTCCAGTCCCATCCATGTTGATACAAAAGTTGGGTATTCATCCTTTCTGATGGAGGCATAATACTCCATAGTGTATATGGACCACATCTTCCTTATCCATTCGTTCATTGAAGGGCATCTTGGTTCTTTCCACAGTTTGGCGACTGTGGCCATTGCTGCTATGAACATTGGGGTACAGATGGCCCTTCTTTTCACTACATCTGTATCTTTGGGGTAAATACCCAGTACTGCAATTGCAGGGTCATAGGGAAGGTCTATTTTTAATTTCTTAAGGAATCTCCACACTGTTTTCCAAAGTGGCTGCACCAACTTGCATTCCCCAACAGTGGAAGAGGGTTCCGCTTTCTCCACATCCTCTCCAACAACACATTGTTTCCTGTCTTGTTATAATATATATTTTTGCCTACTTCCTATGTGCCAAGCATTGTTCTAAGCACTTTTGTGTGTTGATGGATTTAATCTTCACAACCAGCCTATGAAATAGATACCATTAGTGTCCTACATCTTGTAGGTGAGAAAAGTGTGGCACAGGGGAACTAAAGATCACAGGGTGTCGGAACCCAGGTCGTGTGGCTCACTGTGCCCATTACATCCTCCCACGATGTCTGGACTCCTCCAGATCATATTCCAGACCCTGGGAGAGCATAGGGTTCTAACCGGAAGGAAGTCGCTTTAAGATTTTTTAAAGGATAAGTCTTAGGGATAGGTAGATGTATTGTATTTTGAATCTAAAATGCAAAAAAAAAAAAAAAAAAAGACATGCTAATTTCAGCCAGGTCAAACCAGAGCATCTCCATAACCCACATACTATTCAGTTACAAAATGCTAGGATACATATGAAAGCAGGTTAGTGAAATTTTCAAGTGTTAAGTCTCCTAACTCTGGCTTGAGTACAGGTATAGTTTACTTTCTGAGCTCTATGCATTTCCTCTCAGTGCTCTGCAGAAGGAATCTGATTTTTGCTTCAGTGTTCCTTATCAAATGCAGATTATGTTTCTTAGATTTCCTGTAACTTCTGCCTTGTCCATGGAGATTATGAGGACAGGAGCACTAACACATAATGCCTAATATGATACACTGTGACATGGTACAGGGCTGTGTCTGCTGTGATCTGAGTCTATAATTAGCATATCCCTTAAAAAATATTTCCAGTTTTATTGAAATATAAGTGACATGCAGCCACATCCCTTTTTTCCCCTTAATTCTGTACTTTCTCTTAGCATTTTCTGACTCTGAACTCTCTCACACATGTCCTATATATTTTTTTCTTATAGGTAAGAATTCCCTAAGTTCATATATTCATATTCCTTCCAGAATGTTCTCTCTTGTCTGCTAACAAAGATCTAGTCCAGCCAGAAAATTCCTTACATGCAAGGTTTTATATGATGTCAGGTTGTCACTTTGGCAGGATGGCATAGTGACATAGTGGAGTTAGGTCGCCTCGGTCTAAATCTTGGGTCTGTCATTTACTATTTGGTGACCTTGAGGAAGTCACTTTTCCTCTTCCACTTTCTCAGTGCCTAATGTTCCTTATCTGTAAAATGGTTGTCATGAGCATTACATTTTTAATCTCTATGTATACACATACACACATACACCCCTCACATACAGAAAAACACATCATAGGACAGCTTCTAAGACATAGTAAGCCATGTCTGCATATTAGCTAGTGTTGTTCGTTTATTAGTGTTATTATCTTAAAAACCCACAGGTAAGATGAATACCTTGGATGAGGAATATTGGCATGCCCAAGTTTCTTTTGTGTGATGAATTAGGAGGCAGCATAGCATGAATCAGTAAATAGCTGTGGAGCCTTTTAACCATTATTTTTGACCTTTATCTAAGAGCTGCAAGTAGCTGCAAAAATGACTAATGAGTTTCTCCTATTTTTCCTTTCAAATAGCTAGAGGTTAGCAAAGGGTCAGTGACACAGACAGGTGGAAGGTTGGGGTGGCTGGTAAGCTCCAAGAATATAGTGGGGGTGGGCCTCCCTGTTGCATAAGCCATGGGTAGAATTATTTGCCCTTCTGTCACTGAAAGCTGACATTAAAGCATTTCTCTTTATTTCCTTCCTCACACCAGACCAGAAGCGTCGATGGCAGAAGAGTCCAAACCCAAGCCAGCGTGGAGCCAGAGCTACTTCTTCCCTGAGGAGCAGTTCTCTTTCGTGGGCTGGGGCTCTGAGAAGCAGCACCTCAGCCCCACGGGCTTCAGTGAACCCAAGACAACAGGGTCTGCCGCTACACTTGTCAAGCCCCTGGGTGCCACGGGTTACAATTTTTCCCCATTTCATTCTGCAACCATGGAGGAGGCTGGGGCCATTGGGGATATGCCCAAAGTGGAGAGATGCTATCCCTTCCCAGGCTGAAGGCCTGCCTCACAGGCAGTCTCAGAAGAGCTCATGATACATGTGGTAGGCTGTGACCAGTCCCTGGCAGGGGTGTTAACCCCAGCCTCCAGCATGGTGACCACTGCTGAAGTCACGGGTGTCCTCTTTGCTGTGGGTGATCTGCTGTGGGTGATCTGCAGCGGAGGGGCCACGTCAATCAGGAGTGGCACCACCGGGAAAGAATAAATTATGAGAGTATCCAGGAAAGCTGTGGGGTGCCTCTGTAAGCAAGTAGACTAGATAGAGCTGGAGAGAGCAGCAATGCAGCCTGGGCAGGAGGGAAGTCAACAGTCTTGGAGGATGAATAGCTAAGGTCTCAGATATATCCCTGCTACCTCCTCCCTCCCTGGGGATTTATATGCCAGGGCCATGAACTGAAGGGAATCATGGAAAATCAGAAGCTCAGAACTTTGTAGCCTCCTAGTCTTTCTGGATCTTAGTGGGGCGCTGACCAAACCAAATCATCCCTAAAGAATTTCCCCTACCTATTGAAGTCAGGGGCATAGAAATAGCCTTCTAAGTTCTCAAAGTTGGCCTTGCCTTGGCTTTTGGGTAATCTTCATGTGGCCAGTTGACATTTCAACAGTGATTCCTGGTCCATCATTTCCTTATTCCATAGCTCCTTGGTGAAGCAGGGTCCTGTTTTCACAAATGGGGAAATTAAGAAGCAGAAAGTTTAGGAGCCTCTCAACAGAGGTGTTCAAATGGTCATTCTTTGTTTCCACAGACAAGAATTTCAGCACTTCTCACCTCCTCTGGGGGCCCCAGGGATGCCTACCTCTTACTCAGCCTATTACAATATTTCTGTGGCCAAGGCAGAACTGTTGAACAAGTTGAAAGACCAACCCGAAATGGCAGAGATTGGCCTGGGAGAGGAAGAAGTTGACCATGAACTGGCTCAAAAAAAGGTGAAGTTTTCCAATATGTCTTAGATTTTTAGCATTTAATTTGTGTGATTGGAGGTTGACCTGCCCTCTACACTCTCCAGAACAACTTGGTACATCCCCGTACCAAGTTGTCCCCATTCAGTATGGACATCAAATTAGCCTCTTTGGGTTCCTCACAAATGCAACTCCGGTCTCTTTTTGATCCAGCCAATAAGAGTAATGATAGTAATAGAAGTCATCATTATCATCGTCACTGTGTCTCTCGAATCCCTAAAACAACTAGACAGTGATCCCCTTTTTTCCAATTAAGAAGATTAGGTTGCCCAGGGTTATAGACCTACTGGTATATCCAGGACTTGAAGTCAAGACTGTCACACTTTCTACTTTACCACGCCGTCCCTCTGAAATTAGCCAGCCTTGTAAGTAACTTGGTGCCCATGGCACATCAGTTTTTGTCAGCAAGCTCAAACCAATAGCAGGCATTGATTGTATTCTCTGTATCACTTTCTGGGAGAGGGAATAGACTGACTAAACCAAAAAAAAAAAAAAAGGAGAAAATAGAGGCTGGTAAATGTTAGTATTTATTTGCAAGAATAATCCATAATCTCTCAAAAATAGTAGAACAAGTGATAGAAATGATCTTTTTGCTGCAAAGCCTCCCTGTTCTTCCTGTAAGCATCACTAGGCTAGTTTTCTAATCAAATTCCTGGAATCACTTTGCCCTCCCTGCACTTACCCATTTTATTTCGTAAGCAAATAGGGTTTCCATGGTAACCCCAAAGGCCTAATTTACCAGTTTGTGAACATCTGAACTCAATGTAAATTGCTCCTCTGCCCATGCTTCTCATTCAGGGCATGACCTGTAGGAAAGCTCAACGCCATTTGCAGGAGACTCCCCACCACTTTCAAATCTGAAGCAAAATGTCAGGGAAAGAATTGGAAGCATGGTGGTATCAGAGTTGTATTGATTCAGATGCCTGCCTCCTTGGCTTCTGTGTTCCCTGAGCATGGCAAGGCTGCTTCCGGCTTACTCGGGACCTCTTTATTAGGAGCAAAGCTAATAAGAGTCTGACCAGGAAAAGAGAAAAATGACCAGAAATAGCAAAGCACGGAATAGCAGGTAGTGATTTGAAGTGATTGTGGGGAAGCTAGGACAGCTTTTGTCTGAGGAAGACAGGTGAAGAAGGTCACCAATTTGCAATATCCTAGAAAAGCAACTCCTGCTCTAGCTGGGTCTGTGATGATTCCTCAGCTCTATCCAGTACACTTTCCCCAGGACTGAAGTTCAGGTTGCAAAGGTAGGTGCCAAGAACAAAGGGCTGTCTTCGTTTGCATCCTTCCAGATCTATGGAACGATGGAACCCAAGAGCTATGGTGGGTAGGTGATTTTCCAAGTTAATCGTTTGGCCCCCAGCCCTCCCTTGTCCCTGGCATTGAGTTTTGTTTGGGAAAGCAAAGGGGAGAGGTATAACTGGGACCCTCTTGGCATCTAATTAATTGTGTCGTGTCATTTGTAGCATTGATTCCTAATTCCCAGTGGGTTTTAGAATTTTCCCTACATGTAAACCTATGATGCTTCAGTCTTTTTTTTTTTAAAGATTTTATTTATTTATTTGACAGACAGAGATCACAAGTAGGCAGAGAGGCAGGCAGAGAGAGAGGAAGGGAAGCAGGCTCCCCACTGAGCAGAGAGCCCGACATGGGGCTCGACCCCAGGACCCTGGGATCACGACCTGAGCCGAAGGCAGAGGCTTTAACCCACTGAGCCACCCAGGCGCCCCTGATGCTTCAGTCTTAAGATCATGGTGATCTCCTGACTTCTGACCGGTTCTGAAATAATTACCAGGCCCTGGACCCAGAGCAGACTCTCTTGGGACATTTCCTGGACATTTCTCCTTGGACATTTCTAAATAAACTACTAGAAAGGAACACATGTTAGAAAACAACAAGCCTGTGGCCCACAGTGCCTGGGTGTGAGTAATAATAAAACAAACCCTGAAGCAGGGTGTGTGGATGGCTCAGTCAGTCAAGCATTCAGCTGTTGATTTCAGCTCAGGTCATGAGCTCAGAGTCATAATAAGGTAGAGCCTTGTGTTGGGCTACATGCTGGGTGTGGAGTCTGCTTAAGATTCTCTCTCTGCCCCTCCCCACCTGCTCGTGTGCACTCTCTCTCCCTCTCTCTACCTAAAAAAAAAAAAAATATATATATATATATATATATATATATATATGAAAAGAACAAACACTGAAGAGTACTTCAATATATATACACAAGATACAAGATACTGTTCTAAGTGCGTAACCTGTATTAACTCATTTTATTCTCAGAACAGTACTATGAGGTAAGTACTATTGTTATCCCATTTTTTAGATGGGGAAATTGAAGCACAGAAAGGTTGAGTGATTTGCTCAAGGTTACACTGGTGCTTTGTGGCAGAACTGGGGTTCAAACCCAAGTACTTTGGCACTAGCGTCCATGCCCTTAACCATAGTGCGATGCTGAGCAGAGACTGTGAGCAACCTGGGGCAGCTCAGTTCTTGTTAGGACTGTGCACCACGCAAGTATCTACTAGCTCAGAGTGTGTGATTGATAATAATAATAATAACAACAACAATAGCAGCAGCAGCAGCAGCAATACTAAACAGGTATTGAGCACTTAAGGTGCCAGGCAAAATACGAAGCATTTTACTTCTATGATCTCACTTAACCCTCACGATGGTGGTGGGGAGGGGTAGGAGAAGAGAAGCTTCTCCAGTTTACAGATGAGGAAACGGAGGACTCCATGAGATTGGGTATCTTGCCCAAGGTCACACACTTTGGAGGGGGTGGAATTGGAATCCAGGCATCTCTGACTCCAAATGGCTGCTCTACTACACTACCTTCCTATGAGTGGAGTTCCAGAACTGGTTACACCCAGAGGCAAGACAGATCAGAAGACACAGGAAGTGCTTCTCTTAAGAAACTTATCATCAGGGCACCTGGGTGGCTCAGTCGGTTTAAGGGTCTGCCTTCAGCTCAGGTCATGATCTCAGGGTCCTGGGATTGAGCCCAGCATCAGGTTCCCTGCTCAGTGGGGAGCCTGCTTCTCTCTCTCCCTCTGCCTCTGCCTTCTGCTACCTGTGCTTGTGCTGTCGTGCACTCATGCATGCTCTTCCTCTCTCTCAAGTGAATAAATAATATCTTTAAAAAAAAGAAACTTATCATCAGCAGAAGAGGGATCAGATGCACCCACGTAAAACAGGGAATGAACAACTTCAAATTACACTCTAGTGTTCTATTTCTGAAAGACAGGAGAGTTCAGAAAAAGAGATCATTGAAAGGAAGGGCTATGGAGGCAGAAGCTTCCTGCAGGGAGGGTGGGAGCAAAGCTGGGCTCTGAAGAAAGAAGGGGATTAGTCAAAGTGAAGGAAGAGATGGAGAGCAGGTAGAACTGCATAAAGCAAATCAGGAACGCATGGATGAGTGTTGTAAATGCAGATGGAAAGGGGCAAATCCTGAAAGCTTGAATCTTGAGATTGGAATGGTAGGGTGGGGCCAGGCTGAATGACAGCAATAGCAGCCAGCCTTTATTAAACACTTAGTCCCTGCTAAGCCCATTGCACATATTATCTCATTCAACGAGGTGGGTACTGCAGTTATGCCCATTTTGCCAATCAAGAGTGTAAAAGTCCATGAAGAAATTTGCCCAAGGTCACACAGCCAGGAAGGGGGGCAGAACTAGAAGTCAGACCTAGTTATGGGGACTTCAGAACCCACAGTCTTATCCAAAAGGCCTCAAAAGCCAAACGGAGAGGGGGTAAAGAGCCAGCACAGTGCCATGCACAGAAGGGGTACTTGAGTGGATTGAAGGACAATCCATGAAGCCAAAGGCAAACACTTGATGACAATGCTTTTCCAACCCATGCTCTCACAAGCATTCCAATTCCTATTTATTAAGTAGTCTCAGCAAGTATTTATTAAGTTACATCTGGCAAATGAGAATTAGTCCATGGGTACCACTTACCTGATGCCAAGAAATTTGGTGGTGGCAGAGTCCTACGAGATCTGAAGAAATAGGTGGGAGAGAGGACACCTGTCCAGAAAACTGGAATTTCTCATGACTTGCTCGGGTTTCCTTTGTTTCTGAGGACGCATAGAGTCTACCATCTTTTTCAGGGATCCCAAAACAGAGGTTACAGGCACAGATCAGTTTCTTTGAGTCCCCATTCTCATCCCTTGCCTCCTCCTATTGATTTCTCCTAGATACAGCTTATTGAGAGCATCAGTAGAAAGCTTTCTGTCCTGCGGGAGGCCCAGCGAGGACTGCTAGAGGACATCGGTGCCAATTCTGCCCTTGGGGAGGAGGTGGAAGCCAACCTAAAAGCGGTCTGTAAATCCAATGAGTTTGAAAAATACCGTTTGTTTATCGGGGACCTGGACAAAGTGGTCAACCTGTTGCTGTCCCTCTCTGGACGACTGGCCCGGGTGGAGAATGCTCTCAACAGCATCGATTCAGAGGCCAACCAGGAGAAGGTAGAGTTGGGGTCTCTGGGGGGTTAGATGGGGGATATGCTATCTGTTCCTTCTCGGGGCTCCCTCTTTCAAGTTTGGCTTATCTGGGACACAATAAAGCATAGTATGGGCACTGGCTTTTAAGTGCCTGGAAATTCTGGCTCTACCAACAATTAACTGTGTGACTGTGGGCAACTTAACTGTATTCTGTCTCAGTCTCTTCAAAAACACACTACCTATACCTCATGGGGTTCTAAAAATTAAATTAGATAATCCAGAGTATGTGGGTGGCTCAGTCATTTAAGCGTCTGCCTTTGGCCCAAGTCATGATCCCAGGGTCCTGGGATCGAGTCCTGCATTGGGCTCCCTGCTCTGTGGGGAGTCTGCTTTTCCCTCTCACTCTCCCTCAGTGCTCTCCTTCTCTCAAATAAATAAAATCTTAAATAAATATATAACATAATACATATTAATTACTTAAAACAGGGCCTGGAACAGGGTAAAAGCTGAATGAGTGCTACCTGCCAGTAATAGTAGTAGCAGTAGTAGTAGTAGTAGTAGTAGTAGTAGTAGTAGTAGAAGTAGTGGTAGTGGTATCAATAGTGATAGTGGTAGTAATAGTAGTAGTGGTTGTGGTGGTGGTGGTGGTATTATTGGCGCTAGTGCTAATAACAGTAGTAATAGTAGTAATGGTACTGATGGTGGTAGTAAGAGTAGTAGTAGGAATAGTTGTGGTGGTATTGGTGGTGCTGGTGGTAATAGTAGTAGTAGCAGCAGCAGCAGCAAGTTTACCTCGTTTTCTCTCTGAGTTGGAGGACAAGGTCTCACCAAGTAGCTGAGATTGGGAGTCTATCAGTTTCACAGGTTGGGCCACTCTGCATATATCCCTGACCCAAAAGTGCATTACCTTTCCACACAGAAGTGGTTTGGGATACAGATTGGAATCCATAATAAGAGGCACATATGCACATGCGTACACACACAGATATGTACACTCACACCTGTACACCAACACAGAGACACACACCATTTTGAAAGCACCATCACAGTGCTCTTTGTTCTCCGGATGGAAGGGGCATGAGCTGGCTTTGTCAGAGCCTTCACCCACCCAAACCCCGGTGGTGGTCCATGGATGAAAGACCATTTAGGGATGGAAAGGGGTGAATGCACATCGCCCCGTCCAGAATCACTGTTGTGTTCATCCTCCCCCCTGCTCTAGGAAAGAAGGGCTTTTGCATGAAGGCCGACTTCATGGCAGCAAGTCTAGGGATGATTAATTAGCGCAGAGTGGGGAGCTGTTGGCAGCAGCGTTCCTGGTGGAGCCATGGGTTAGGCAGCCGACTGGGAACTGGGATGGCTCTTAACTGGTCTATCTGATTCCTCAGTTGGTGCTGATAGAGAAGAAGCAGCAGCTGACAGGGCAGTTGGCAGACGCCAAGGAGCTGAAGGAGCATGTGGACCGCCGGGAGAAGCTGGTGTTTGGCATGGTCTCCCGCTACCTGCCTCAGGACCAGCTCCAAGACTACCAGCACTTTGTGAAGATGAAATCTGCTCTCATCATCGAACAGCGAGAGCTGGAGGAGAAGATCAAGCTTGGGGAAGAGCAGCTAAAATGTCTCAGGGAGAGCCTACTCCTGGGGCCCAGCAATTTCTAATCCACCAGCAGACTGACATGCCGTCCCTGCCCAGACACAATGGGAAGTGCTTTCAACCTTTGTTAGCAGTTTGTTAGCAAGTAGATAGCAGTTAGTTAGCAGTTTGTTCCATAGCCTCTACCTTGGACATCTGTCACTGCCCCTCACCTAGCAATGCCCCCAACCAGCTAGGAGTCCCTGAGGAGGCCCCAAACTTCTACCCTAGGGAGAAGCAAGAAGCAGGAGGTGCCTGCAGCAAGGTGTGATTATACAACCACAGTCTCCTTCCCACGGTTTGCATAGGCAAGCACTCACTGCACACAGAACCAAAAAATGTCTTCATTCTTCTTGGTACCAGGACTCCAAAGACATCATGCACTCACCACCCATCCACACCACAATCAGCCTCTCGAGGCTCAGAGAGAATCTGCCTGTGTAGCTCCATCCTGCCCAAAGTTCATTGCCCAGCCATTTCCCACAGAGATCTGAATATCTCGAAGGTATCACTCACCAGCAATTTAAGGGCCTCATGTAAGCTTTGCAGTGGGAAGCACAGAAGAAGATATTACACGAAACAGAATGTAAGCAAAGACTGGGAATCCCTAGGTGCCCCTGCAGAAGCTAGGCTTACACGAATCAGCTCCATCCCCACCTTCCCCAGCAGCTGATTGAGGGGGGAAGGAGGCCTACTCTCAGCCCTGGCCAGTGTGGCCTTCCTCCTGTCCTGAGATTTTTGGCCTACCACATCCTGTCCCTTCCTGCCTTTCATTGCTGGGGGTTATAGGTGCCTACCCTAAGGTCTTCACACTATGGGCCATTAAGAGCCCCACTAAAGCTGACTTCTGGATACACATTTCATTATTGGGGGAGGGGTTCTTTGTTGTATTTTAAATGACATTTTGATTTTATTTATTTTTGTGTTTTGATTTTTTTTCTTTTTTTTTAACTAAGAAGGTGAGAAGAGGGGAATCGGAGAGGGAAAACTAATCCCAGAAGGAAGGTGTTTTCTGTAGATCAGCCTGAATTTCACCAAGGTTAGATGAGCAAAAGCCAAAGCCTCAAATTCTTCACCCCTGCCAACCCCGCGAGAGCCAAAGTCTTAAATTCTTCCCCTGAAGTTTACAAGGGTCTACGAAAGGAGTTTTCACCTTGAACTCAGCTTACTTTGGCCTGGCCCTATACTTTCATTGACATCAGGATAACCATAAGCTTAGCATTCCCCAACAGGTTTAAGTTTTAAAGGTTTACCCATTTCTCTGCCACCTCCCATCTAAGAAATTGGGTAGCAGAGAGCTCAGGAAGAGATCTTCCATCTCACATTTCCTTTTTCCAGCCTGTGGCCTGACCCAGGGAACTGAAATTCATGGTAGCTAGAAGCTCCAGTCAGGGCCACCCCTTCACCAACACCCCCTCAACCCACAACCCCACCCCTCCACCCCTGCCCAGAGCAACTTACGACCCAGCCAGGATCTTAGGCACACAAACAATGAATGCTGCTATTGTTGCCAAGGTCCTGTCCTAGAAAATTGGAAAATCCCTCAGGTGGGCGACAGCAGGAAAGGAGCTGTGACCAAACTTCAGCCCATTATCCAGCTCCATTCCCTCTTCCTCGCTCACTGGAGCCCCTGGTTCATGTTGCACAGCCCTGCCCAGTTAAGCCCTGACATCTCTTCTAGTTACTGCTGAGTTCCCCAGGGTCCTTGGAGGTGAACTGTAGCAGCAGGGATGCCTCATTCAGCCAAAGAATTTGCCAAAGAACTTTGCTGCTGCTACAAATACTGCTCTCTAGCTTCCGTTTCCTCTTCATTGTATTTGGAAACAATGGAAGAATCTTGGCCAGCTGTGTGTCCTGAGGGGGTCCCTGGGTATGCTCTTAGTGAACTGCTGCTATCAGAACCACTGTTAAAATGTCAACCTGCCATTCTCCCCTAAGTGGAGGAGTCTACGCTATTCAGGAAGGCTGATGGCTTGTAAAGGGCTAGGTTTACCCAAGCCAAGGTTGAGGAAGGTGGGGGAGTGCTATGAATAGAGGCTGCTGTTGTCATCTTTTTTTTTTTTTTTCTTAAACAGGCTCTAGGATAAATAAGGAGTAAATTGAGATGTCCTGTATGTGGGGGGTGGTTGAGGCCAACATAATCCACCATTCTAAGATTTGGGGTGGTGCTAAAACAGCTTTTAGGGAACACAGGCACAGGGGAAAAGAGTACCTGGACACAAAGACCACATTCTGGGTTTTCCTAGTCAGCATTAGATTGGTTGTATATTAAATTTATCACTCTAGAAGTACTATTGACTATGTTATTTTTGTCCCTCATCCCACCTGAGATTAGAGTTGGAATCAGAACAAAAGGATGCTCATTTTCACCAGAAGGACGGTTTCTAAAGCACTTAATAAAATAACCCCAAAACTATACTGAGCAGTAAAGCTTGGCAGACAAAAGTCTGCTACTAAACAGGAACTAATGCCCCAAGCTACGGATGTGAATGATGGTGCTTCAGAGCTGCCAGTATTATTTGAGAAGCAGTGCCTCTCCCCCGTTCTCATTTCCTGGGCTCAGCCCTCTGGCAAGGTCTGAGGTGGGTAGCAGTGTGGAAGGTGGGCCAGAGGATTTCCCCAAAGAGAGTTATTGGTCCTGACTTCTGTCCTCTCTCTTCAAATACTCACACAGGCCCCAGTGGGTAATAGGTTGATAGAGAGAAATCCATGCAAGGGTTACTATCACTTGTCCCTTCTTACTCCCCTACCCCAACCCCAGGCTCTGGGTAGTTGAGTCTCCTTGAGTCCCACCAGCTACAGACTCAGCCAGGGCTTAGTGGTAAATGCTCAAGGGGAACCCAAGAGAGACAGACACACTAAAAACAAAACCCCAGAAAGGAAGAGACTGGATGCAGAGGAGCTAAGAGGATGAAAGATGAAAAAGACTTTTTCAAGTCCAGGTTCAGGCTCTGTTTTCCATTTAACCTCCTGTGTCAGAAAGCTTCCCTGGGGGCACCAGAACCACAACCTGAACCCCAGTCTCCCTGAAAGTGCTGCTCTGCCCATAGCAAGTCCCAGATGGAGGAAGCTGAGCACATTTCTGGCCACTTCCTCCTGTTTGGAGCTTGGTGACTCCCACTGTCTTTGCCAAAGGAGTTGTCTATGCCAATAACAGTTCTGTAACAGTGTATTATAGTGTTTGAAGATTAGTAGATCTTTAGAGGGGGGTGGGGCAGGGGGCAATTTCTATAGATTAAGAACCAGTGTTTGTTGTACAGCTGTTGGGGGTCATCTATGCCATGTGAAGCTATTATTTTTCTGAATCTAATTGTTTCTCTGATTGTGTCCTCCACCACTCCTGTCTTGGCTGACATTGATATGCCTGCCAGATTGTCATCAAGGGTTATACTTCAATAAAGGGTGCTAAGGACAAAAAAAAATAAGATTATCTCAAGTGTTTTGACTGAGGTGATGGAAATTCTCTAATATTCTACTGAAAAATATTGGAAAGGAATTTGGTTACCTATCTATAATCCTTCATATGTAACCATCTGACCAGAGCATTACCCACATCCTTACTCTTACCCTGGTCCCTGAGGGATAACACTGATGCTATACTATTCATTAACCCCAGTAAAATAATTTAGAATTCAGGAAGAGTCAATGATAGGTGTAATCTTAAGGTAAACCTCAGCAGTATAGAGTCCAGTTCTGGAGTCTAGCTTGAACAGAGAGGTGGGGCACTTTCTAGACCACCTCCAGCTATGTATTCTGTCTACTAGCATCATCTTCTACCTTATAGTCCAATCTCACACTTTGCCTCTCAGCAACCTGAAGAGCACAGTTCTCACTGATCCACTCTCCAAGATAACCTCAAGGTTTAGACCCAAATGCACTCCAGGCAGGACCTCTGACCCTGAACTCTTTCCCTCAGTATATACATAATTTTTATCCCAAGTGATCTCTTCCTATTCCAGATTGCCAGTGTGATAGAATGGGAAGTGTCCAGCTTTGACATTAACATGAAGAGTTTGCAAGTCCTGGTTTTGCCACTTACTCTATGAACCTATGTTATATGCTCAATTTTAGTTTATTTTCTTATGTATAAAATGGGAATAATAATGTATATCTTGCATAGTTTTGGCTTAATAAATGAAAGCTACCAGCTGTCTACTGAGAAGTTGTTAGAAAGGCAGGATCCTGCCTCTACCCTAAACCCACTAACAACAGTCTGCATTTTAACTAGATTCCCAGAAAATTTATATGCATATTAAAGTTTGAGAAGCATTAACCTATCATAAACATGCTCAGTACATAGTAACCTATTATTCTAGTCCTGATTTATCTAATTCTTTCTTTTGTAATCCCAGGCATATTACTGATCTTCTCATATTGCTCACAACTACCTGCCTAAATGAGTTCAACAAGACTGCCTGATATAAGTTTGATACATAAAATCATTTGTATCTCTACACACTAATAATCAACTAGCTGGAAACAAAATTAAGAAAACAATTCCATTTACAATAGCATCAATAAGAACATAACACTTAGGAATACATTTAACAAAAGAAATATAATAATTTTATACTGAAACTACAAAACATTGAAAGAAATTAAATAAAATCTAAAAGATTATTTAGACTAAAATCTAAATCTAGTAGTTAGATGACAGTATTCCCCAAATTGATCTACACATTCAACCCAATCTTTATAAGAATACTGGCTGTCTTTTCTGCAGAAATTGAAAAGTCAAACTTAAAATTCATATGAAATTGCAAGGAACACAAAATAGTCATAGTCTTTAAAAAGAAAAAAGATGGACAGTTCACACTTCTCAATTTTGAAACATTACAAAGCTACAGTAATCAAGACAGTGTGGTACATATACAAAGACAGACATGTTAATAAACAGATTACTATTTAAAGTACAGAAAAAAGACCTCAGGGGCACCTGGGTGGCTCAGGTGTTTAAGCGTCTGTCTTTAGCTCAGGTCGTGATACCAGGGTCCCAGGACTGAGTCCCATATCAGGCTCCTTGCTTGGCAGGGAGCCTGCATCACCCTCTACCTGCTGTTCCCCCTGCTTGTGCCCTTTCTCTCTCTGTCAAATAAATAAATTAAATATTGGGAAGAAAAAAAGAAAGAGGCCCTCATATTTAGGATCTGATAATTTTTGGTAAAGGTGCCAAGACAATAAAAAATAGAGAAAGAATAGTTTTTCAACTAATGATGTGGGGACAAGTGGGTATCCACACAGAAAAAAATGAAGTTGGACTTCTTCCCTTCACCACACACAAAAATTAACTAAAAAAGGACTATAAACCTAAATGTAAGAATTACATTTACAAAAAAACTTACAAAATGCATAAAAGAAAGCATAGGAGTAAATCATCTTGAAATTGTGTTAGGCAAGATTACTCAGAACTCCAAAAGCACAAGTGGCAAAAGAAAATATGAATAAATTAAAGTCTATCAAAGTTAAAAACTTCTGTGCTGCAAACAATATCACCAAGAAAGTGAAAAAATAATCTGCATAATCAGAAAACTATTCACATATCACATATTTAATATTAGTCTTTTATCCATAATATATAAAGAACTGGTACACCTCAATAATAAAAAGAAGTAAAAAATAGGCAAAGGATCAGAATAGA